GCAGACAGAGAGACAAGAGCGATCGCCTTGGAACTAAAGTGGGTTTAGTTAGGGTGTTTGCCATTATCGCAGACCGGCCGGTCAGAGATTAGTGGGAGCACCCGAGGAAAATGGAACGACATTTTCCAATTAAACCGGGCCAACCGATAGGAATGGCTCTTGCTACTTTTTATTCCTTTTCCGAATTTCCTAATTAGGGCAAAAATGGAACGGCGAATTTCGTTCAGAATATTCTAACCGAAATAAGTGGACCACCTCCAGAGGTGATCCCGAATATTCCGGTCGGAAGAAACCGAAACGGACCTTCCATTTGAATTCTGACCGAAATTTCCGAAATCTTTGGCATAATGGAAAGCACCTTTAGACTATAGCAACGTCATTTTGCTCAGTTGTGGTTGACTGCTCTTGTAACAAAATAGCGATAACCATTCCAGACGATAAAGGTTTGACTTGAACCCACCACATGGACATGTAGGAGCTCTGCAATGTCTGACACTTCTGAGTAGCTATAGTATCTGCTTTCCTTTTCCTTGTGGCAGTTTTCGTCTTAACAGTAGATTGGGAACTTTTGTTTTGTTTTGATGATCAAAGCCGCAAAATTTTATGCTATGCTGTCCTCGATCGGAATATGTTAAATGATCCGTCTTCATGCAAAGTTACACGTCTGGATCGCGTGACATTCCAATATCAAGTAACATAAAAAAAGGCAAACAAAGGTGCTGAGAACACTTCAAGGACGTCTTGAAATTGTTTGCATAGTCATTCCCGACAAAAAGATACTTTTGGTACTTGATCCTAAGAACTATTCTAAACGATAGCCATGTTTGAAGAACTGGCATGGTTTATCTTGGCTGTAATCCTTGTTACATTGATCGTCAATCACTTCACTGCAAACAGAAATCTACCCTCAGGGCCTTTTCCTTTACCGATTATTGGAAATGCGCACAAAGTATCTCCCGATTCACGCCATGTTGACCTAACGACGCTGGAAAAACAATATGGCAAAGTCTTTCGTCTGTATCTTGGAAGCCAGCTTGCAGTGGTGGTTAGTGGGAGAAAGGCTCTCAGGGAAGCTCTAGTTACAAAGTCGGCAGAATTCGCTGGACGTCCTAATCTCTATACCGCAACCTATTACTCGGATAATGGAAAGGCGGTTGCATTCGCGGATTATTCTCTAGAGTGGAAACTACATCGCAAGATTGTGGTCTCAGCGCTCAGGATATACAACACTGGTGTGCTAAAACAAGGGTCCACCATCAGTGACGAATTCGATCTCCTCTTGAAACGAGTCCATTCGAAAAATGGCCAACCTCACGACATCACCAAAGAGATTCGGCTGGCTGTGACGAATGTGATTTGCAATTTGGTGTTCGGTTCGAGGTACGAGCTAGATGACCCCGAGTTTACAGCGCTTCTGAAAATCCATAACGGAATTTGGAAGATGCTTGCGAGTGGAAGCGTGGTGGATGCATTTCCTTGGCTGAAGTTTCTTCCATTCAAGTCCATCCTGAATTTTAAAGAGAAATGCAAGGAACGAGACGAGCTGTTTGGAAGGATTTATCGAGAACACGTGGACGCCAATAGAATTGATGATCCTCAAGATTTGACAGACGCCTTGTTGAAGGCAAAGAAAGAGGCTGAAGACGAGGATTCCTCCATCAAAGGATTCCTGACAGATCAGCATCTCATTATGACCATGAGTGAGGTCTTCATAGGTGGGATGGAAACCACTGCAAGTACGATGTGTTGGGCGCTGTTGTACCTGATTCATAACCCGCACGTCCAGGAGATGCTGCATCAAGAGCTGGATCGAGTTATTGGCCCTCACCGTTTACCAGGACTTGAGGACAAAGAGAACCTGCCCTATCTAGAAGCTGCTATAACTGAGACTCTCCGAATCTCTTCTGTTGGCGCTTTCGCACCTCATAAAACAACAGTCGACACGACTTTGCAGGGATATCATATTCCGACGAACACCACAGTGTTTGCCAACTTATGGTCCCTCCACCACGACCCAGAAATTTGGGATGATCCAAACGAATTCAGACCAACAAGGTTCCTGGATGAGGAAGGTAATTTTCTGCCTCCAAAACCTGACCAATTCCTCCCGTTCTCGGCGGGGCGTCGAGGTTGTTTAGGGGAGTCTTTGGCACGAATTCAGGTCTTCCTAGTCTTAGCACGTTTGCTGCATAGCTTCAAGTTCAAGAATCCACCAGGATCCGATCCTCCAAGTTTAGAACCCATCACAGGTCTTGCGTTGATGCCACGGCCGTTCAGCGTTTGTGCTCTCAACAGACATTCTCTTTGAATTCTCTTGTGTAATGGGTGACTTTCGATGCCTTTTGTGAGCATTGTCTAAGAGCAAGAGAGAACAGACTGAAATGACGAGAGAACATTGGTGGCAATCAACAGTGTATCGCATAGTTTTGACATTTTGTCTCTAAGCTAAGCGTCTAGTTCGCAACGACATACTATATACGACTTATCTTATCATGTAACATGCCGGTCGACTTTCTTCGTGATATTGGACTTCAACAACAACAACAACAACAACAACAATTTTATTTGTACTCAGCTAGAAATTAGAAATTAGATGAACAAAAAACAAGTTAAATTAAAAAGAGTACATGGCTCCCCGAAATAACCTTAGTGGCCTAATAAGGCTGGGCAGCCATCCTTAATGATTTACAGTGATTATTAATTTGGGTCAAATAAGAAGAGAAAATAAGAAAAAGACATCCAGGAGCACACACAACACACACAACAAAGACTAATAATACATAGAGATTTAGTGAAAAATAGTCGGATCATACAGTGTACTAGTAACATACACAGTTACAGACATTCAATATGTACTAATAGCTTGCAACAATATTTGATTTGATCTTTTTATTTTTCTTTGATCTGGGTGGAATAAAACAAAATTTGACTTGTCGATATTAATGGCGAGTTTGTTTGCACATAACCAGGAATCAACCCTACTAAGTTCATTGTTAAGATTGCTTTCAAGTATATCAATATTATTATGTTTATAGAATAGGTCTGCGTCATCAGCAAAAAGGTGGAAATCTAATATCTTTGAGCAGTTATGAAAATCGTTTAATTTGCCATTTCCACATCCCCCATAATACACCTTGTTTGCTCCCCCCCCCCCCCCCCCCCCCC